GTGGCCTGTTATAAACTAGTCAGCGGGGATCAGCAGGCATTGGGGGAGTCCCTGTTCCCCCAAGCACCGCCAGGAGTGACCAGGAATAACGGTCACAAGCTGGCAGAGGGTAGGTTTAGGTTGGACATCAGGAGGCGCTTTTTCACGGTCAGGGCGGCTAGGGTTTAGAACCAACTTCCAAGAGAAGTGGTGCAGGCTCCTACCCTGGGGGTTTTTAAGAGGAGGTTAGATGAACACCTTGCTGGGGTCATTTGACCCCAGTACTCTTTCCTGCCATGGCAGGGGGTCAGACTAAATGATCTGCTTAGGTCCCTTCCGACCCTATAAACTATGAAACTATGAAACTCCTATCATATTAATATATATTTTTCCCCAAAAGCTTGTGCAAATGCAAATCACCATTGAACATCCCTCTGCAGGCAAAAGTTGGAGTTGGGTTTCTAAGGGTTTTAAGAATTGATGTGATCACAGCTACATACTCCAAGTCAGTGATTCTCAATCAGGGTGCTGTGACATCCCAGGGGTGCCACAGGGCACCAAGCAATAGTAGCACTGATAGAAGTGCAAATATAATTCACAAGATAAACTCAGAGTTTTCAAATAGAAATTCATAATTGTGATCTTTCAGAGTTGTTTGCCACAGAAAATCTGCTCTATTACTTTCTGTAGTAAAAAAAAAAAAAGAGGAAAAACTAAGAGCTGGAGTTCTCTGAGGGATGCCTTGAGTCTGTCCAGGGTGCCTTGAGTCCAAAAATGTTGAGAACCGCTGCTATAAGTGCTCCAGCCTTCCTGCACTCCAGAAAGATAAGGATGAGATGCAGTTTTTCAATGACAATTTAATTCAGATTTTCAAGGAGAATTGGGTATATTTCAGGTGTTCTACTCAGCCAGGTCAAAAGCATCACTAAGCATGTTAAGCAGAGGCTTTTCACAATATTAAATCCCTTCCATATTGGGCACATCTACATGAGATGATTACTGTGCAGTTGACTAATTAACTGCCGTAAACATCTCAGCGTCTGCACATGAGCATGAAACTAATTGGCTCTGCGGCAGGATAGTCTTGTAAAATACAAGTACTACCCTGCTGCAGAGTTTTTTCGTGCACAGCAGTGCAAGTGTAGACGCTGCCCCAGCTGGCTGGCTGGGGCACAGGGTGCTTAAGTGAGGGGCTAGCTGCTCTGTGGCTGGCTGGAGTACAGCGCACCTCAATGCAGGGGCTGCCTACCAGTTAAATGTAGATGTGCCCACTCCTAACAAAAAGACGACTTGAAGGTGAATAGTAGTGACATATAGAGTACAAGCACATTAGGAAAAGTACAGGTCAAAGGAAAAAAAAAACACAAGAAAAACAAATTCAAGTCAGGCTTAGGTTACTGAAAAATGCACTACATTCAAAAGCTTGTCTAAGCCTATCCCAGTCATACAATTTGTCTAGTTAAATATATCATCCAAAAAAAGATCCTGTCAATTTGCATATTTCCCAGATGATTATGGCTACAACATCACTTCAACACAACCACATGCAAGTTAGGGATATTTTAGGGAGGGACCTGAATGGAGGGATAGGAATCGGCAAGAGAGAGACACATATAAGACATCATACAAAGGAAGAAAATAATAACTTTTTCAGTATTGCCAAGGACCCAAGAAACATAAAACTGAAAAAAATATGCATTTTGAGTGTTATTTGGTTCCTTCCTTTTAAACCTCTTAGTGATAACATTTTACAGTATTATGACTACAGGTATGCAGGCTAAATGAGAAGTTGTGACTCTCACATAATCATGACACTTTAGGAAAAACTGATGTGGTGAATTTTGTTGATACTTGCAATAAAACTGTGAGAGCAGGAAATACTGAGATACTAGGCTTTCTAGATGGATTGGAACAGTAATCATTGTTGGGCTTCTTGGCTTGTGGCAGCTCCAAGGAAGGAGAAACCATTGAACAAGCGAGATTAAGAATCAGAAGAGGAGATGTCTATCTCTTATTTAAATTAATCTTTAAGTAGACCTTTTAGGGACTAATCATAGTTGTCCAAAATAACAAGCCACTCTCTGAGCCAGTACCCCTATGATGAGATAAACAAGGGCTTGGAAAATCCAGGTCACAGCAGTTAGGTGATCTTTCCAAGCACAACTGGTGACACTGTGGACTTCAGCTGGATGGTGGCCTCTATGTACTTTGGAGTTCCTAACAACAGATAACAATGAAAAAAAATCATACCCCTTCTCTATACACAGGGTAGGACAACTAAAA